ATGAAAAAGTAAAGTATTACACTGGTCTGCCAAACCTTGCAACCTTCCTGGCACTCTTTAATTTTTTATTGCCACTCATGTCATATCAAAAGAAATGTCTTACTCCTTTTCAGATGCTCCTATTCACACTCATGCGCTTAAGATTGGATTTGCCTCTGCAGAACCTTGCTTATCTGTTTCATATTTCTCCTAGGACTGCACAAAGAACATTTCATGATATGGTTTCATGTCTTTATGCAAATTTGAGGCGTGCTATTATATGGCCAGACAGAGACACTCTCCGCAAAGTAATGCCACATCAGTTCAAGGAGGCCTTTGGAAACAGAGTAGCAGTGATTATTGACTGCTTTGAGATATTTACAGAAAAACCATCAAACCTAAAAGCGCGTGCCCAAATGTTCTCCAGCTACAAGCACAATCACACCATGAAATATTTAATAGGTGTGACACCCAAAGGAGCCATTTGTTTTTTGTCCAAAGGCTGGGGAGGTCGTACAAGCGACAAACACATCACGCTGAACAGTGGCTTCCTTGACAATTTGTTGCCTGGGGACCTGTTCTTGGCTGACAGAGGTTTTGACATACAGGAGTGTGTGGGCATGCTGTGTGCTGAAGTTAAACTCCCAGCATTCACCAAAGGCCACTGTCAGTTAGCAGCTAGAGATGTGGAGGAAACTAGGAAAATAGCACATTTGAGAATCCATGTTGAACGGGTGATTGGAAATGTATGTCAAAAGTACAAAATCTTAAATGGAACTATTCCTATTTCAATGGTTTTACCCTGTGCTGGAGAAGAGGTCACATTCTTGGATAAGGTCGTCACTGTGTGCTGTGCCCTGACAAATCATTGTCCAACTGTGGTGTAGATACAGAAATCACCCAAGATGTAAATGCATTTTGATTTTTTTACTTGTGCATAAGGAAGGCTTGTACACACTGTAAACTTTCTTTTTTAGCACAATAAACTTTTTTCAACAAAACTTGTAAACATTAGCATAATAGAAATATCCCCACAACCTGCAAATATCAACCTGTAAACATTATTTTGTAGCATCATAAAAAATTGTCAAACACTGAAAACTTGTAAACATTCTTTTTAGAATAATAAAAGTCTTCTAAAACCTTCTAAAACTGTAAATATTCCTTTTTTTTGGTAGCATAAAGAACATGGGTCATTGAGAAAAATATTAAGTTGAACTGTTTTTATGTGTGCATTTAACTGTCAAGTGATCAGTGCAAAAGGTAAACACAAGGAATAGCTTAACATACTGGTAACATATGTAAAGTGAAGAGGTAGTAGTATAAGGTGCTCAGCTACATTTGTCTGGTGAACACAAACAACACTGCAAAAAAAAAAAAAAAACAGTTTAAGTTTTTAAATTTGAGCACTTCCAGTGTCAAGTGATTAGTGCAAAAGTAAACACAAGCAATAGCTTAACATACTGGTAACATATGTAAACACAAAAAAATCACTGTAAAACACACTAAAAAAAAAAAAACAGTTTAAGTTTTTAAATTTGAGCACTTCCAGTGTCAAGTGATCAGTGCAAAAGTAAACACAAGCAATAGCTTAACATACTGGTAACATATGTAAACACAAAAAAATCACTGTAAAACACAAAAAAAAAAAAAAAACAGTTTAAGTTTTTAAATTTGAGCACTTCCAGTGTCAAGTGATCAGTGCAAAAGTAAACACAAGCAATAGCTTAACATACTGGTAACATATGTAAACACACAAACATCACTGCAAAACACATTTAAATTAACAAAGACAGTTTAAGTTTTTGAATTCGAGCACTGAGGGCAAAGCAAAAAGTCAGACTGAGCATCTTTGAGGTGTAGGCCAACACAACTCAAATGAAACCAAACGATGGGGCAGTTTTCATTGTCACAGGCCACCATGTCATCTTTGGCCTCCGGTCCATGGCACAAACACCATAGCTTGTCAGCTGCTACAATGTTGTTTGCTTTTTCAGCCAGAGGTTTTGCAGCCTTGCAAGGTCTTTTCCTTACAGGATCAGAGCTGTCTGTCAGCGGTGCTCGTTGTGCATCACGTGTGAAGAAGTGGCTGACCAGTTCAGGGAGACACACACGCTCAAAGAACTGCTGTGCCTTTTCAAGGAGTGCATTCCACAGCTTGGGGTCAGGTGCCACACGTAACACAACAATGTCTTTCAGGGTCCACACTACAAAGTCACAATATGCTGCATTAGCAACAAAAATTTGGGTCTGCACTTGTTTGTAGTATGGATGCTCCTTCTTAAGCTGCAGCTTTCCATCCACCATTTCCAAACAGAAATTTTTATCACCACTCCTGCATGCCTCCAGAATGGTATTGTCTCGGTACTTGAATGGGCACTTTATCTCGACACAGCCTTTTCCGCAGCAGGTGCACAGTACAATTGCATCAGGTGATGCTCCAACCTGGGGAAACTTGGGGTTGATAATGAACCCAGACTGGCTTAGCTCAAAGTCACAGTGTTGGTTTTCCATTTTCTGTTTGTACTGTGTTTGCCCTCTCTGTTCATTTTGTCTCCCCCATACAGTGGCAGCACAATGATTGGTTGCACCGCTGTTTGTGCCACATACTGCTTTGACGGTTGAAACTGCAGGGTTGTCCAAATCTGACCGAAAGACTGCGTGCATGGTTGATGCTGCTACCCTTCCTGTGCGAAACCGATACCATGTTGAGGATCTGTGCTGTGATCTACTATGCAATTCTATGTAGTGGGCCTGGTCCTGTGAAATGTCTGCCTTTTTTAACAAAGTTTTGCAGTGCAACCGTAACGCAGACAAATCACTGCAATCCATTTTTTTATCACACAGTCGGGACAATGAATCTGGTGCAGGACATGGCTGTAATGTGTCTGCAAATGAATCACAAAATCCTGGTAAACAAGACAAAACAGCAGCTTTAGATGAGGCTTTCTGCAGTTCACGAAGATATGCGCTCCACTGGTCCTGTGTGCTGGTGTTGCCTGTGCAGGTGCTTGTGACAGTTCTGAGCGCTGGCATGTGTTCGGCCTGACCATCCAAGAGTTGGTCTAGGCTTTTCCGTTTAGCTTTTGATGATGTAAAATCGATCTTGTGTCCCACCTCCGCTCCCACTTTGTTTATGTTGTTCGGTATCATCCAGTATGCAGGCTCTCCTGTAACAGTTGTTTTCTCCCTGCATCTGATAGTGGCCTCCAACTTGAACAGCATGGCAGCTACATGCATACAGGTCTCTGCTATCCCAGCCATACATGTACAGTGAGCAGATGATATGGCTCCTGATCGGTCAATGATGGCCCAGGGTTTCAGTGGTGTGTCGTTTAGTCTTTGGGAGTGCATGACCTACAAGGAACATAACACAGATACAAACGTTTTAGTGGGATGGGAGTCTTACATATGTTCAGGCAGGGGGGGATTTAGCATTAGGCAATACTAGGCAGGTGCCTAGGGCCCCAAGTTCCTGGGGCCCCCATAACATGTATGTTTAATACAGCTATTCCTGACTTGTGCACTTTAATTATGTTTTTGATATAAATGCTTTCGCTAAAAGGACAGCAGCAAACCATTTGAAAAAAAATGATACAATGAGCGGTTTTGTACTTGAGCGACTTTACAGGCTCTTCTAGCACTTTAATATCAAAAAAGGGCCTAGCGCCAAATCTTGCAAAATTTTTCTGCTACTGGAGACTTTGGCGACCACATTCATAGGGCCCCCTGCCTGTCTTTGCCTAGGGCCCCCATTTTTCTAAATCCGCCCCTGTTTTCAGGCTTATGTTAACTGTACAGACTTATCTTGGACAGGCTGCTATGTAAACGTGGGCATAAAAAAAAAAATATTTTGATTACTGAACATCATTTAGGAGCTTGCTTGAGAAGCGCTGAGGGAGCTTGCCTTTGCAGTAACAACTGTGTTGTTGCACATCTGTGGTCGGTAGGAAAACAGATCCTGAACCCAGCCATTTGAACTGTCCGTGTGCTTCCAGTGATTTATATGCCTTGAATTCCTCGCACGTGTAGGCACTGACGCCAAACACTAGGTAAGTGGTTATGTCCACTGATGAGGTCGGAGGCAGTGAAGAGACGTCGGAGCTCCAGTCTTTGCTCCGGAGATCATAGGGATCTATGCCGTTAATATCCGACAGTTTGGCCAAGTAACGGTCCCTGGCCTCGTTGTTAAGTTTTTCCCGGTACGGTAGTTTCGCATTCTGCTTACTTTTTTCCATGTAGTCGGCGAAAAAAACTCAATCCTTTAGTCCTTTTGTTTGGCTGTGCTGCGGCTGTTTACACTACGCCTTCTCCACTCAAAATGGCGTCTTAGCAACAAATGTCACGTGACTGACGGAGACCGATATGATGCAAATTTTGCAGCCTGGTGGAGTCTGTGCTCTGGAAGTGCTTTTTTAGTTTATGGTTATTTTTAACTGGCTAAACTAATTTTAAAAGTGTTCTAATATCCATAATACATATGTGTTGTACAATTCCAGTGTAATGAACAAAATATAAAGAAACATTGAACCTTGACATGTGTAATAAGTTCAACTCAGAGAAACAATTAGGGATCATGAAATAACAGATGTTTTACAGGTCAGTCTTCTTTCGGTCACTTTCCTTTTTAAAAACTTTGCCATCCACCTGTTGTCTAAACTTTAAGGTCACTCCACTCACGCCATGCTCCTCCAGTTTGTCCTGGAGCTGAGAGAGACAAAAATCGATCTTTAATTTGGAAAGTGATCAGTGCTCCCAACAAATGTGACCTAAAAATGTCAGGACTTACTTTTTTTAGGATGTTTGCTTTCAGAGAATCATCATTCAGATCCACCAAGTCTTCTGTCTTCAGTCTTAGCTTCAAAACAGTTTTTTTGGTTTCTTCAAATTTAAGAACAACCCCCCCCCCCCAAAACATGTTACAACTGTTGAACATTTTATTGAAAAAGACTAGAAAATAAATGTCAAAAAATTTAGACAAAACCAAACAGATTTTCTTTCAGAAATATCAAGTCATCATGTTATTGAAGTATTGTTAATTCTGTCACATCAGTAGAACACTCACCGTGTTGAACACTGTAGCAGACAAATGGTAGTTTGGTTTCACAAGGCAAAAACTTATATTTTCCTGAGCGCATAGTAGATGTTGCGCCACATATGACCTTCATTGAGCCGAGTGGATTATAGATGCCGTCAGGGTTGAAGAAGAGGAAAGGGCTTCCATCAGACCACTGAAAACTGTTTGAGCTTCTAGATAGTCCGATCCACGGCTCTTCACCAGATGGTATCAAGGTCAGGGCCATCTGGTTTTCTGTGTTATCCCTCACTGTGGCCAGATCAATGAAGAACTCCCGGCAGTATTTCTGGGCATCTGTCCATGTTCTACTTTCTGCCACGTAAACATATTCAGGTTCCAGCTGTGTGCCTGACAATGAAGACACAGAAAACATAGGTGAGTAGGTGGCTGGCCAATATTTCAGTTATGTTGTGAAATAACAAATCAGACATATTACCATTGTAACAGAGAAATGGGTACGTGTTGTGACAGTTATCATCCCACCACATTTCATTGCTGTCAGCATTAACACAAAACTGACTGCCTGAAGTAAAGTTAGGCTCATTATTGGATGGTGTCCAGCTCCTGTAATCTGCGCCGCTTCCTGAGAAGCCATCAGACCATCTCCAGTCGATTTCATTGAACAGACCAATCCAGACGTCAGAGCTGTGTCCAGCAGATGTAAGATTGTCAATAAGTTGGTTCTGTTGCTCAGAGTTTAGGATGGAGGCCAGGTCTGTGTGCTTCTGCCTGCAGTAAGTCTGAGCTTCTGTCCAAGTGAATAATTTATTAACAAAATGGTACTGAGGAAGGATGCAGGTGCAGAGGACCACCCAGTCTGGAAGATAGATTTAAAGATTTTATTCGTCATCATTGCTTTGCTCAAAAGGTTTCAATACCACCAGGTGTAAACATTAAGTCACTCACCTAGAAGAAACAAAAGTCCCAACATGATCTTCCCCATCACAATGCTGCTCTGAGGACTGCAGTAGAAAGACCTGATGTTATAATCAGTCTCAGGGTTTCTGTTTGATACATAGGTATTAGTTTTTTCAATTGCACATGCAAACTGGTTGCCATGGGTGCCTGTAGGGAAATGATGCTTAAAAATAAAATAATTTTTGCATAGTTTTAATATTACACTCGCAATACTTTCAAAAACAACCACAAATGCCAAGCTGCTAATATTGCATTGAACCCCTTCTTTCCCAGGTAATGATAGTTCTCAAAACGGAGCTTTATTATGGACCCCTTGTGTTTCACTTTAACAAATTAAATATTGTAAGATTTTTTTTTTTACCGAAAACAAATTTTTGTGTCATTTCTTATATTAAACTGACAGCATTTCATTCCTTAGTTTAAACTCAGGACATGAGGTATCCCAGCTACCTCATGCCAGACATGAGGTAGCTGGGATACCCTTATTTACCTCATATCCTGAGCTAACAATGCTAGCCAGTCCACTGCAGTAGTTTCTTTAGAGTGAGCTTTAACATTCAGTTAAAACTCTTAAAATCATCAGTGTTAGGAATCCAGTTTGTGTGGGTTGTGTTTTTGTGTCTTTCTCTCCCTACACCACCAGGTGGTGCCCTCTTCTCGTTGGTTCTCTCACACACCTGGTTGACTCATCACTGAGGACTATTTGAGCCATGGACTGTCACTACCTCAGCGCCAGAGTGTTTGGCAGTTTTAAGAAGTTATCCTGCAAGCTGGATGTTTGGCCTTCTTCCCCTGGAAGGATTGTTTGTGTCTCACACTGAGCAGGGGATAAACCTCCACAAGTTCCGTTCAAGTCCTCCAGGATTTCCAAGTGAAAGTCCGCTCAATAGCTCCTCAGGGTCCAACCAAGTCTAAACCTGTCCGCCCTCCAACGAGTCTCTTCCTCTGGATAAACCCACACCGACTGGATTCTTGGAAGAAAGTTTTCTTCACTATCTTCTTGTTCACCTGTTAAAACCTTTACCCTGGTTCTCTGAGTGCTTTACTGCATGTGGGTCAGATTCCTAAGAAAATCCTGACAATCAGCAGTTGAATCAGAAAGTTTATTTCAAATAACACACAAACACAACTATCTATTCTACCTAGTTCACCATAACACAGCAATTATTAATCATTAGATGGAAAGGGGGAAGGATGGATGTTACAAAGGGATGTGCCGATACCAGAATTTTTCCAACTTAGTACGATTACAAGTACTTCAGTACTTTTTTAAACAATTTTTAAGCCTCCCAATGTATATAGAGTACTGATACGAGTATTATTAAGTGCCATTAACTCCTGAGAATTAATATGATTTTTTTTTTACTTTAATTTGGCTTATTAAACAGAATTACACTTGGTGTATTTTAACTGTATAGATGTCCTCTTATTATATTTGAAGACATAGAACACCACTTCTAGTCTAACCAACACTCTTAGTTTAACATAGATTTGAACATTTACTGAATACTTTTAACAGCCTTGTGACAGTTTTATCTATAACTATGAAAACAAACTGTGAATGAGCAACTAATATATTACATTATGCTTCTTGTAAAGCTTGTATTTTAGGTCGGAATAGAAAGCTTTCACTTCGGCTCAGTTTTTTGCAGGCTCTGGTCTTTTGTCCAGTCTGTTCGTCCAACAGTAGCTCTCATAGAGATTTGACTTAATCCGGTGCAACAATAAGAGGTAACTTATCAGGGGGATTAATTGTATAACTGACGGTAGCCTGCGTCTCCCTTTAGCCACGGTGTTTAGCTGGTAGTCTAAACTCTTCTGCTGCTCCTCGCAGGCAGGACCAGCCATGGGTCGCCGGCTTCTAAAGACTTCTTTGGAAAACAGCAATGGACCCCGCTATTGTTCCTTCAGCTATTATGCTACATTTACATCTGAAGCAGCAAAGGCAGCAGGAGCAGGTAGTTTACATGCAAAGTCAATGGTTGACGTGGATCAATCCACAGCACAACATCCCGCAGCGGGTCTCAGCAGCTGAAGCAGTGCGTTGTTAGCTTCTGAGCATCTGAAGTTGGAAAAATTAAACTTTTGCTACATCAACCAATCAGAGAAGCTGATCTGGGAGCTGGCAGGGAGACAGACACAGCACTGATCATACAGATCACTATGATCACTCCTCTTAGCACATCTTACATCTTTGCTTACCTCTGTTGCAGCTCCACAACCGCCTCTAGTTCCCCTGGCTCCAGCATCCGAGGTTCCTCTGCCACAACCGGCTTCTCCTTCGGATTTTCCCCAAGCCGCAGCCCCCTCTGTTAACCACAGCGGAGCATATGTCCCGGATTCACCTCCTTTCTCCGGTGAGCTCTCCAAATGCCGAGGCTCCCTGCTACAATGCCAAATGGTCTTCAGCCAGCAACCTTCCGCTTTTGCATCTGACCTTTCAAGAATATATTATGTCATGGGCTTGCTGCGGGATCAGGCTCTTGCATGGGCGCTTGCTTTCACTTCCGCCAACCTTCTAACATCCCTCCCCTTTGCACTGGTTTCTTCCGAAATAAGCTAAGTGTTTGATCATCCTGACCATGCTTGAGACTCTGGGGCAGAAGACATTTTTATTGATGCTGTATTGGCAAAGCAGCTGAATATTCCCATTGAACCTGTCAGCCCGCCATTGTCTGCTAATGGTTTAAATGGCAAACTATTGTTTTGTGTTTCCCACCAAACAGTGGTGTTTCATAGTGCTTTAATCACTACAGCTCCAAATCACTTTTAACCCCCTCACATTCATTCACAAGCAGGTAATGACACCATGCCATTGGCCAGGTTAACTTTTCCCTTACCCAACCTTTATCACATAAACATGTCTGCAGAAGGCAAGGTGTGTTTTTTTTTTTACATACTTCTCTCTACAGATCAACAGAAGGCCTTTTTTTCTTATCTGTTCACACACCCTGCTGATTTTTTAAACCTCAAATCCATTAGGAGTGTCTACCACACAATCACACAGCTTCCCTAGCCCTACTTGTAGTGAAATTAGTTCGTTATCATTCTCCACTTTCAAATTTGCATGCGTGTTTACAACAAAACTTTATCACAAGGATGAAAGCTGGAAAACCTGTTTTAAACTAGAGAATTGTGAAACTGAAACTCCCCTAGTGTGAGGCACACAAAATATGCAGTCACATTTGTTTTTTTTTCCTGTTGAAAATTGTTATTTGCACTTTTAGTAGCACTTGAGTTGAAAGGAAAAGATAGTTCTTGCGGTTATGTATTTATTAACTCTGGTTGATCCTAATGTCATTGTGGAGTGCGCCACAGGGGGAAAGTGTGTTGAGCAGGAGGACCCGCTGCCTCAGATGGAGGGAAACTTGTTGTCGGCACTTTTTCAGATTACAGTCATACTCTTGCTGAGTTTGAATTCAGTGTCTTTATCCTCTAAAGGCCAGATTCGTCAGCCAATTTCGTCATAGAATGGCGAAGTAGCATGTTCGGAATCCTCGTTATGCCACAGACAGATGCAGCCTTGTTTTTACCTTGGGTATTCCATGATTCATTGTGATTCCAAGCAAGCCGGCTGCTCCGTGCTTAGAGGAAAAAGGGCAATGGCGCCAAAGAGTGGTGAATATTGCAATTGCAGTTTAATGTAATCCAAGTATGTGAATAGTTCCGTCTGAAATGAATGAAAATAGCTGTTTTGAATGGTTGTTGAGTCAGATATGTGGAGGATTGTCATGTTTTGGTTTTCAGACTGAATAGGAACAATCACGGAGGCAAGGATCAGTTAAGGGTTTTATTGAAGATTTGTGGTTGTACAGAGTGAAGTCCGGCAGGCAGGGTTGTCAGGATACTGCTGGAAGAGGTTTGATGACAGGTGAGCAACAGTTCGGTGCTGGTTGAAAAGGGAGGGATGTGTGAGACTCACAGAGAGGGCTTCTTGGCGTCTGTCATGGGAGGATGGTGACCAGTGGTCCTGGCGAATGGTGCAGGTCCGGTGGGTGAGATCAGATGGTGGTGTGTGAGGGTGGACAGGCAGGTGAGCTCAGGCAGGAGGGCTTTAATGGTTCTGAGGTCCAAAGCCTCACTGGTTCTTAGAGGCAGACTGAAGATGCCTCTAACAGGGGTCCAAAGCGAAAAGGTCTCTGGAGTGGTTTCAAGGCTTGGGATCCTGGGTTCTAGAAGAAGGAGCAGAGAGTACAGGGTTAGGTTCAGGCTAAGCTAAGAAGCTAGGCTTGGTTCAGGATCAGTTGTACCAGCGCTGGAGCATTAACAAACTGACGCCCTCCTCCTGGTTCCAGCTCCTTAAAAAAGGTGGGAATCAGCTTGATAAAGAGCACCTGCCCGTCCAGCCCTGCAGAGAGAAAAAAAAAAGGAAAAAACTGGCCTGCACCCGGGACTGGGAGTATGACAAGGATATTATTTGGTATTTGGTTATATCTGTCCCTATGTAAATGGGTTTGGCTGACATTTAAGCTCAGATGCCAATATTTTAGAATCTATTTTTGTAGGGGAGTTGATGCCTAGTGGGTAGGGCATTGCGCTTGAAATCCAGAGGTTCTGAGTTCAAGCCCCACTCCCACAGACTGCCACTATGGGTCCTTGAACATATACCCTTAACCCCACACTGCTCCCCGGGCACAGCACAATGGCAGCTCATTACTTCCCAAGGGGATGGGTACTTGTGACAGTCTAATGACAATTAAAGCTGGAAAAAAAATCTCTGCATTAAGAAGTTCGATATTCATTCTTTGCCTGCTTTGTGTGTCAACGGCTGGGCGACAAAGCATATGGGTGGACCTGTTTGCATCATAGCCAAAACTTTCAGCCCCCTTATTTTCATAGACCTCGAAGGAACCAGTCCAGGTAGACCAGGTCCTTGGATGATAGAGCCTCTGAAATCGAACGCACCCTATGCAGTGTGGCTGCATCAAACCAAAACACACTGCGTCTTGTCTCAGAATTTCTACTGTCCATTTAGGTAGTATTTGGCAAAATGCATACAAAATCACATGTAACTGGACTGTATATTATTTTGCTGCTCTATTGCCAGATTTTGAGTGGTTTTAGAAAAAAACCCATAACAGCAGATCATGCCTTAAGGGGCTGACACGAGGATGTGTAATGGTGGTGCTCCATCGTTGTTTTGGTAGCAGTAGGTATAGACGTTATTTTAAAGGGGTCTTGGAATGCCAAACTAACTTTACATTCTCATAGATGAATAACGATAGTTTAGTGGGTGAAATGGACGTACAGACACCTCCTTTCTCTGCAAATCTCACGATTCTAAACTTCCACCATAAAACGGGCGAATCCAAATGAAGAACCGAGTTGAAGTCAACTGCTGGGTCACTGACTGACTGGACGACCCAGCAGCCAGGGAGCCAGCCGGGACGGGGCTTCCCCACACCTAGGGCTGCCATTTTCCAGGCTATCGTCACCAGGTCGGGTTCAGTCGCTCTGTTCCCCGCTGACTCCCTGCTCCCGCCCGGTAGGGTTCCCAGACCAGCCCCGGAGCTCATGGCTCGGTTCGAGCGCCCTGTGTGTTTCGACCCCCTTCTCCACTGTAGTCGACCTAAATCCTGGACAATTTTGAAATTCCCCTCAAACAGTTTTTTAGGTATGAAAAGTAGGACATGTCCAGGAAAAAGAGGACATCTGGTCACCCTACCATATCAACAATTTGATGTTTCAGTGACTGAGTTCTTGTTGCTATGATGTGTCTTTGCTCAGAAGCCTTGCTCGTTGTAAACAAACCAATCAGATCACAGCTCATCTAAATATTGATGATCATACCATAAAAAGAAGAAAACCTGTTGTTTCATTCCACAGCTTTTAACCAGGCTGCACTAGGGCTCATAGAACAGCAAATATGCCATTTTCAGCACAACCAATATTACACACCCTATTCAGAGACCTTAAGGACCAGCACCAGATACCCTATAGAATCATTCTATCACCCCTTTAAGGTTAAATGGTTCTTGTATCCAAAAAGAGGGGATTATATTGACACTTTGGATTTTTTTTTCCTTTTTGGTTCTATAGTGTGGGAAAATGCAAAATGCAATTAATTCATAATAAAAGTGCATTTTAATTATAATATTAATTAAATTAATATTAATATTAATTTACTTTATACTTGAGTAATAAAAAAAAGAAAGATTGTTAAGATTCGGAAAGCTACATGTGTATTTAAGAGAAGGTGAATAAAATTGTGTTTTTGGAATACACATTTGTAAATAAATAAGTTATGAAGTGAGGCTGCATTAAACCAGAACACACAGCTTCTAGTCTAATTATTTCTTTCTTCAGGGAAAATTCTTCTGCTGTGGATCTGCCCCCCCCGAGACTGGATCCGTAACACTAGCACTTTAATGAAGGTCGCCTTGCTAACTGGTATTTTCTCCAGGGGACTTTTGCAGAAGAGAGAATACTTTGCAGTTTCCTTTTTACCTGCGTGATGTACTGTACATGGAATAAATTATAGTCTGGTCCTGCTAATACTTAATACTTTAGTTTCTCATAAAATCAGTTGAATTTCATCATCAGGTCGTCCGGAAAGAGGTTCTCTTTTTCTTTTTTGTGAATTTCTTTGTCCAATCTCAGTTCTCTACACCCCCAGTGTTGGTCTCACTGGCTAATGAAGGCCATCCAAAGTGTTTTAATAAACAAAATTCATTTTGAGAGAAGACTGCAAGTAAACAAACTCTGGTATATAGCTTTACCAGGTTGGGTTTACAAACATCGCTATATCCTCTCAGTTGAGAGAGATGTAGTGCCTTAAAGGCACAAACAGCTCAGGTGCTTTTTGTGGTTTGAAGAGGAACAGGAACTTTCGGTAGATTTTAATCAAGGAAATATAGCAATATTATTTATCTGAACTTTGAAAAACAATCAGGACTTGGCCCTCCATTCAATTTACAGTCCTACCCTGACTCATTTTTCCTCCTGTCGCAAACAAGGTTTAATTATAGGTCTATCCAACAGACTAGACTTTGTTTTAGCTTGAAGTTGTCGTAAAACTCCTTTATGTCTGAGAAAGGCTTCTGAATACTTCCATTCAACCAAGCCTTTCTTTGGGCAGAACAGTAAACCATGAGCACAAGATCTCCATGCACAAATTTCCTTCTTGGAGTCTACTATCTCTGTCGCTCTTGTTGTAATGGAAGATATTCTTCTGTCCATCTTGAACAAAACAAGTCAGCCATGTGTAATGCTTATCGCCATCTTTGACATTCGAATACATCTCCCCTATCAAACAAGCCTGGAGAAAGGATTGGCTGTTTCCTTAATAACAGAAGATGAGATGGGTCAAAACATCCAGGTCCTTTGGATCATCTGATGCAGCAGTCAAAAAACGGTCATCATCCTCCAATGTCTACTGTTTCAAGAAAGAGTTCAACACCTTCCTGATTGTAGAAATGTGTCTTTCCCATATTCCACCTTGAAGGGAGGTAGTAGGGGTGTTAAAAGTCCATGTGATAATCTTTTTCATCAAATCTTCTCTGATTTAGGAATGATACAACTATGCCAGGGTTGTATTTCTGCACCAAAACTAGTTCCATTGCCTGATTGCAAAGTAGCAACTTGACCTCTTCTGAACACCATAGCGTTTCACTATGCTGTGTGCGCTTTTAACCCCAAACATTCCAAAATAGTCCACTTGTCTGAAATGACACGTTCCTCCAATATATTGAACATTTTTTGGACTGCAGGCTTGGCATGTAACTTCCTTTATTATTGGAGGGGCAGCTCTGTTCAATATTGGTATCTAGAAGCATTGTCTGACCTTTGCAATGAGCTGGTTTCTTCCACAATGACCATACTGATGATAATTTCGTTGCAGAATTAGCCTAACAATCTGCAATCTCCAACTTTTATGATGTAATTTTGCAGGAAAGGGTGCAAATTAGAAAGTTGATGTGACAGTTTTACTTGAGACTCTTTGCCTTGGTGTAAAGCCAACTGCTCTGGATACATTTCTCTTAGACTGTAACATATTGCACAACTTCTGCAACTAATTGGCTTTCTCAACCTCATAATTTCTTCATGCACTTCCTGATTCTGCTTTAATACTTCTGTTTCTGTCAATGCAACAAAGTCCTAACATTCCTTTCTGTTTTCAATTAGGTAGTGTAGAAGGTCTTTTAAACATAACATACATTTATTTTAGACAAGGTCCTTGTCTAAAATAAAACAGCCTGGGACCCAGGACCTCTCTTCAGGTCTCTAACCCTCCCAGTCAACCAAATACTGGAGCCCCCCTTTGGTCTAGACCTCAAGAGACGTTGGACCATCTAGACTCGGTCCCCATCCATAACTTGGCAATAGAAAATCACCCAATAATGCAGGGAGACAACTATTTGCTGTTGACCTTAAGGGGCAGCTCTTTGGTAGAAAGCCAAACTCTTTGACCACCCGGTGGTTGGCAGCATTAGCTTGAGCAGCTATTCTTGTTTCTGCAAAGTTATAACACAGTTAAACTTAAGTTAAACCTGAACTGAAGAACCAGTAGTTTAAGTGTGTGGTCCAACAGTTCTATTTGCTTTACTGTCAGTTGTTTTTATGTTTAAATCCTGAATAGTTTATATTCTATTACTGATCATTCTTTTTGTTATGGTTTAATTAATGTAAAGCCTTTTGAATTGGCTCTCATGCACCGCCGCCTCCTTGTTTCTTCCCAGCAAACCAATAAGTTCCAGACCTTCGCCACTAGATGAACAGCGGACATCCGAAACTTTGGTCAGGAAGGTTTAAACTACAGTTAAAAGGCATTACCTGCACAAAGTACTCTGAATTGTCTTTGCACTGGATTGTGCTAAAAGAAATAAGGTGTCTTCAATGTCAACATCAACAGTATGTTCTTATGAAAAAGTTTTTATTATGCCTATTATAGAGGAGAAAACATATTAATTCCATTATATCTAGTACCTTTGACATGTATCCAAAATACATGGCTTAAATAAGTAAACACCATTCTTTGTTCAAAGGATTTATGAGAAATGTCACTTTATGAATAAATATGCTTTAATTTATCCTTCCAGATAGAATTTAATCCTTACAGAAATATACTTGCAAAATTAGAAATTGCAGAGAAAATTAAAATACTTTCCAAGTTACTATCTAAATATATATTCGAAAGAGGGAGAAGCAGCGCAGCCAAAAACAGTTCATGGTCAAAAGTGGTATTATGTCATAAAATAATACCAGTCAGATGAGACATTCAGTAGGAAAGTTAAAAACGTTTATTAAAACAAACGGACAGAAACAGAACTGACTCAGGCTGCTCAGGATCTGCGGACCTGCAGCGACTGCAGGAGGGGGCTTGGCACCGCCCAATCACTGATACTCTGG